GCGGGCTGGAGAGCCTCAAGGACCTAGTGTGAGCGGAAGGGGCCGTTGCGGGCGACCGCAGCCTCGCCGCCTGCCCTGACTACTGCCGCCTGGCTGCCCTGTGTCAGCCTCGTGAGCGGCGAGGTGCAGGTCGTCGCGGCGGACGGCGTGAGCCACGCATAGGACCGACTACTGCGCCGCCTCACTAGCTAGTACGACCGCGCACCCTGACGCCCGAGGTTGCGGTTCCGGGGACCCGGGACGCAGGGCGGGGAGGGAGGTCGGGTGGACTGGCGTAGAGGAGACAGTCGACGTGGTCCTGGCTCTTTTGATATCGGGAGTCGCGGCTCCGCTCTCTGGCCCTGACAGAGTCTGGGAGTCTGCAGTCTCCTCTCGTCTCGTCCCGCCGTGAGAGTAAGTACTCACATTCATGCATTTGTGTATCATGTGCATGCTACACGTACGGTTCACGACGTGGACGGAGGTGTGTATGATAGTATCGGTGTGCGCGAGCGCCGAGCGCGTGCAGGCATGCCCGCAGAGCCAGAGGCATACACTATGCGCCCCCGCCCCCGCCGCCCGCGTCCCCGCCTGCGCCTCGCTTACGGGGTCGCTCGCTCGCACTCTCTCTCTCGCTCTCCTCTCTGGGGACTTCTGCGGAGACTGCGCAGCCTTAATACACGCTACTTTTACTCTGTACTTGATAGCCCCTACTCTCGAGGGAGTAACTCTCTGTGGTGTGACGCCCGAAACGAACCCAGATGAGAGAACAGATACGAGAAGAGAAGGTCCACCCTTCTCCCGTCGTCGTCGTCGGAGAGAGATCTCATCTCAGTCATCACCAGTTCGAGGTGAGTCGCCCCCCCCCCCCCACCTCGCCGCGGGGGGCTCCTCCTCTCGCCGCGCACGCGAGGCGGCGAGGAAGAGCGCCGCCGACACGGCGTGTGAGGTGGGGATCAGCACGGTGAGCATGCTACGGAGCGGGACGCCGCGCCGCATGAGCGCGCCGATGAGGAGGGGGGAACCGTTGGACACGATCTGCAGCGCATTGACGAGGCCCTGCGCCGACCCCCAAACGTCCTGCGGCAGCGCGCCCTGCAGAGCCGACGTGAAGGGGCCGAACCAGCACTCGCCGGCAAGGTAGGCGAGCAGCAAGCAACCGAGCGCCGGAGCAAACGCGCGGCTCTGCAGCGCGCCCAGCCAGAGGGGGATGCAGAGCAGGGAGCCTAAGCTCGGCGTCCTCTCGGCGTCCTCTCGGCCGAAGACGCGAGAGGGGCGGGGATGCAGAGCGGAGGAGAGGAGAGGAGAGGAGAGGACAGAGAGGAGGCGGGGAGGCGAGGAGGCGAGGCGTGGGTGTGTGTGTGTGGGGGGGGGGGGGGGGGGGGCCAAAGGAAAAGGAAAAGGCCCCAAAACCCCCTCGCCCCTCCGAAAGTGAAAAAGGCCCCTGCTTGATCCCCGCTTTTCCGGGTATATTTCCGGGAATTTTTTCCCCCCGCCCCCGGACAAAAAAAACCCCGGGGGGGCCCCCCTCTTAACCCCTTGGGGGAGGAAACCCCCCCCCAATTGGCCCTAAAACCCTCCCAAAATTCCCCCA